GGTTGCAATGCCGTGTAGATTTATAGGTACACAAACATTTCGGAGAAATTTACTCTTTCCTTCTTCAGGGATAAAGTGAATGTGGTGGAAAGTGGAGATTTTATATGGGATGAGAGAAAAGTCAGAAGCTAAAAGTCCTCTGTTTATGTAGTTTGATTGTCCCCATAATGATGAAAAGCAAGAACATCTGTGGTAACTTGCATATACGCATACGCGCATAATGCGTTGCCCACACAAGTTTGATGCCGCATGGTTCCGTAAGTTTTCGATGCAGGAAATATACATTAAATTGAAGAAACGTTTTGTGAGTATACTAAATTTGGTTTGTTCTACAAAGCACATACTCTTTACTGAGCGTTGCGTGACGTATAATAATGAAACAAAAGGCTTGCTTGGCGTATCAGTAGCTTGCCAGAGTGACTTCACAGACAAGCTGTCACTTTTCTCCACGAGATAATTTCCTCTTTTGTTCCATGGGAACAAAGGCATCTGCCAGGGTGCCTCAAAAGAACTGAGGTCCAAGACACCTTTTTCTTCTTCTTTTCTTAACTCATTAGGAAATGTAATGTCTGAATACCTTCAAACTAACATTTACTTACTTCTAGGCCGCGGAATGCGATAAGAACACATTCACCACCTGTGGATGGGTGAATTCTTTTCGCCTGACTGCAGGCTGTCAACATGGTGGACTTCGGTAACGTCTCTAAAGATCGTTGGGTCTGCCCCAGCGATCGGCAACTAGCGCTGAGAGCAAAGTAAGTTATGTCGAGAACTGGACCTACTCCATGGAACAAGATCCTCCTTCAGAAGCTGATAGTAGCTCAGCTTATCTAGACATTCCCTCGCCTCATACCCGATAGTTCATTGCCGTGTTGAAAAAGTGACCGATACTCTACCCTATTTTAACCCACGTTAATTCGATCCACACCTCACACACTGCTTCTTTAAGATACATTTTAATGATGTTCTATCTTCTACGCTCAGGTCCTCCAAGATGTCTCTTTCCTTCAGACATTACGACTACATATTTATATGCATAATATAACATCCTTTCATGCTGCTACATATAAAAAAGAGAAAGATAAAATATTCACTTACAATAATGAAACTAATGGCCTATTTGTAATGTTTATTTTCTGTAAACAACCATACTGTGAAAATAGGCGCATTTGAAAACAAACTGAAGTTTGTGTAAAATGTATTAAAAATTAAAACAACTACTCTTATCGGTTCTACTAATTAACTAGATGGATGCAGCACAGTCCTTATTCAGAAGCTAACATTTATAGAATCGATTACGACACAAATTTTATCTCGTGAAAATGTAATTTGGCTATGAATTGGTTAACGCTTCAATGCTTCTAGTTCAGTGTGTGTTTAGAAAGTGGTTATGTTTCTGTATAGGCTGAGGACTGGCTGGTCTGTGAAGACTCGGCAACTCCAATCGTTCGGAGGACGACAGGACTCAACACTGAATGAGTCTGAACAAGCCGTCATCAAGGATGTCATCAAGAGGGCCGAGATGCTGGAAATGACAGAGCAGGAGCGAGTCGGGTAGATATTGATTCTTTAATGCTGTTACCACATGATAACACCTGTATATTTCCTCTTGTAGAAAACCAATATTCATATGACATAAATGGGAAACAATTATTCAACGTTTTGCTACGAAATTTGATAACTATAAGTCATATTCATTATTTATACCTGAAAATAATTAATTATTAGTCGCTGATTGCTTCTGTTAACTGTATTTCAATATCAGAACTAACCAAATGAAACCAGATTGAGCCATTTTTCGGTCACTGTATGATAACCTGGGTGTGTGTGCTGCAATATATTTCTATAACGAAATTGCATAAAATTTCCCCGCAATTTTTGTTAATTATATACGACCTATGCCAATTAAATTAAACTTCCTTTTCTCCGAGACCAGCTAAGTGCCAAGTCGGAGATGAAATCCCTAACTTAGAACCGAGGGTGTGACAATGTGCTTCTTGGTCCGGGCTGTCGTACATCTCGTGGGGCGGTGATAGATTAGTACAGACTAGTGATACAATGATGATTAATGGGGAGGACAGAAGAACCAGGGGGGAAACCCTGTTCCACGGCCACATCGTCAACCACGAAAAACGCTTGTATTGACCCGAGGTTAAAACCGGGGTCTCCGCGGTCAGAAGCTAGCTACATATTTCCAGATGCGTAATTCATAATCCCGCTGTTGAAAAAACATCTTTAAACAGCAGTGTGAGAGCAGACTTTCCTTTCACCTCGTAAAATTTGTTGATATTGATGTTAATTTATTAATAGATGCATTTTCTTGCACTGTGAGACTTGTTATGGCACTGATAAATCTGGATTTAAGTTTCATGTTAACTGTGGTGGATGTTAAAGCAGTACGTACCAAAATATAATTTTCCTAACAAGTTTTAGTTTAGGTACCCAATTGGCCTGTAAAATGTGGTCGAAGTCCTTTAAGAGACGTCGAAGATGTGACAGATGATAACCCACTTTTACGCTCTTTACGCAAAGAACGCACAATAAACACGTGCAGAAACAAATTTACGTATTTTATGTTACGTTACGTTGGTTTCATTTGTGAACTGATAGAAGAAGACGTATCAAGTCCAATACTTGTTACTGCTGTGACGTCTTTCACCCAGACTCCTCTTCATTTGGTCGTACATGCATTACTGGTACAAGAGACAATCTTCTGTCATCGGTCTACAGCGTCTTGGTCATATTGTAGAGCACGCCATTTTCCAGTTCCTTCACAAATTTAATTTACCTTTCACAGTACTAGATATCGTCATAAAAACTACGCGTGTAAATGAGTTGTTCTCGATTTTCCTCATTCTCTCCAGATCATTATAGGGGTGACTAACCTGCTTCCACGTCTTGCATACTCACCATTCCTGATCAGTTTCCCATTTCTTTCGGCGCTGCAGTTCAGACAGCGTCGTTGCATAACCCAAGAATCGCTCCCTGCAGCGTCGTTTATGGTGTACGTAATCAGGCATGTAAGTTACTACGCAACAGCTTTCGTCGAACTGTTTTCCTCCTGGCCTGAGCGTACGTATCATGAGTCAAGGTGTAATAATCGCACATAAAGATATGAAACCAGTTTGTTTGCCTATAGACGTAAGTTTGTTGCCCACGTCAGTAAAACTAGATAGGTATATTTAAGATCTGATTTCCCTCGTGTCATCAGCCATCAGAACTCCACCCAACGAACCAATATTCAGGCCCCGCGTACTTGTATCTACTAATCTCGCCCTCAGTTTCTTTCAATGTGGGGCTCAGAGGAAGTCTTATAATCCACTGATGAACATTTTCGCTGCCTGATGGCAAATATATATCAAAGGTACTTGTTAATAGGAAGTGAAGTCAGCCGTACTTGTTGCTGCAGAACCGCTTGGTGCTGTTAATTATAAATCTGCCGCTGTATATTTTTAGACTTGTCTTCCGCTGTTTGTGTGCAGTTCATTTCGTTATGCATAGGTTATTAAAATTAGAATTCATATGTTTCAAGGATACATATACTTTATAACAAACATTAGGCCTATCGAAATAAAATATAATGTTATATTTAATTATAGGTATAATTAATTTTATCTTTATTGGGTCACCGCTATTTATAGAAGCCTAAGCATAATGCAAAATACGTCACTACTTTATTTTTGTAATTTTCTTTGATAAATACTTAACTGATAGTCATACAAATGCCCGGAATATTTTCCATCAAGCTAATAGTGTGAGAACGTTCATTTAGTTACTCATTTTGGTTCACTTTAAGGTATCACTTCATGTTATTTATTTTCCTTCTGTTTATTCTGAATACCCTCGTCCCAGGTTCTGTTATGGATGTTATTCTATCTTCCACTGCATTTACATGTCTAATCTAAGTGGTTTTATGTTATTATTTTAATGGTCCAACATCTAACCGTTTCTTCAAGCTTGGTTTCTGAATTCATTCTAGAAATGTCTTTTATTTTTGTCTAGAATATTTCATTTATATTCACTGGTTTAGATGTTATGTTAATACTCGCGGTTCAAGATAATACACGTTGAAACCCATAAACTGAAGTCGTTTTCGTTATGTGTTACATAACATTACGTTTCAGTGTCAGATACTCAGTCTCATTTCTGGCCCATTTAGGAACGACATCACTTTAGCACAGATGAAAAAATGGAAAACTTAACTGAAGCTGTGTGCTATTTGTTTAATTTATTTCCAGTTCCCGTGGTGATAGAGATTCCGACGGAGATGGAAAATATCTCTGAAAGAGATTTGTAATAATTTTAGGCATTTAATTTAAATATTTTAATTAAATTGAATTGGTATTTTAATTTTATTTGATTAGCAATAACAAATAGAAATGAGGTCCATGATGAAATTAAGAGTAAAATTCATTCGGGGAACACACGTTTTCATCCAATTCTCGTTTACTATCCAAAACACTGAAGATCAGGATATACAAAAAAATGATAATTTTGCCTGTTGTCTACGGTTTTGAAATATGGTCTCCTACCTTGAAGGAAGAATGTAGATTACAATGTTTGAAAACAGGCTGCTGAGGAAAATATTTGGACCTAGGAAGGATTAAATAATTGGGGAATTTAGAACACTGCATAACGAGGAGCTCTCCTAGTACAGTGAGCTCCGATGGGCCAGACATGCAGCACGCTTAGGGGGTTGGAGACAAGGGGTACATGCAGAATTTGTACGGAATCATTCTGGAAAACGATCTTCTGAAACGTAGGTAAACTTCTACCAGACTACACGGCGAAACAACCCAGGAGGCAGCCATCTTCTAACTTTAGCATATTTTATAAGTCTCTTCAGCACTACCAACATTTAATATATGGTCCAGAAACATTGTGTGGTAACACATTTACCAAAAATATTCAGTTCTCAAGGTATTTTTCTGTAGTCTGTAGAATGAAAAGGAAGAAAATGGCGACTGCACAAATTTGCGATAGCTAATGAACCACTGGAACTAGGAATATGAAATTTAGTAAGAAGGCAGATTATAATTTCATCTACAAATTCTGCATGGCGAATTTTTTACACGTTAACAATTACAAACATGGTGGCTGTGGAAGTTGTTGAAGTTATGTTTGATAACTTTAGCCTAGTTGCAGTGTCTTAGTAACAATTACGCACAGAAGTGTGGCAACTGAACTGTGTGCAATTGTTAGTTTCTTCGCTGCTCCTAGCCTGTCACAGCCTGAAGCAGCTGAAGTAAAGTAATCTTCATAAATTTCTCCCAGAAGTTATTGTTATTAACCCGATGAGCGCAATTAGTGTCTCATCATTTACGAATTCCCATAGACATCTTTTACACGTCACTACAATTTCTTTTCCTCGCTCGCCTGTCAACTGCGAGCGTCCCAGCAGAACCCCTGCGCCACGACTCGCTATGACCATTACATTTACGTCACAGGGGGAGGATTCCGTCTCTTATCCATGTTATTTTCACCCCCCGCTGCTCGTAACAAAATTACCTATTGTAGTGGTCCTGTCACATACATGCAACCAAACCAAACATATGACACGATTTTGAGAGGTCGACGGTTCGAAGCTCTACACCGTCTATCTTTATTTTTCGTTTATTATTACTTTTCTCAATGTAACGGTCGAGTGGTTAGCACTCTTTCGTATTCGGGATGTTACTGGTACACATCTTGGCCCGGGGTTTGACTAATTTTCTCTTGATTTTCCTCAGTCCCTCTATATGAATGCTGTGATAGTGCCTTAAATTAGGCCACAACCGCTTCCATCCATATTCTTTCCAATGAATCAACTATTAAGCCTGTCATGTGATGCTATATAGTCTGACCTGTTAACAACGTCATTAAACAAATTAACATTACTTATCTAGTGTCAAGTCTATTAATTCCATAATGATTCAGTCATTGTTATAAAGTATTTAATATTAATTTTATTGTGTTAGCTTTTCTAATAAATTGTTATTGACAACTAAGCACATTTCTTATATAGCTTTTCTTAATAACAAGTAATTGATAATTATTTTTGTAAAATTGGCCGTCAACATAAGGCTCATTAGAAAAATCTCACTTAGCAGCCACAAGTGCTCATTTGCTAGATAAAATAATGTTGTGGCAAAATACATAGCGTGTACGTAAGGTTCTGCATCTTGGACAGACAAATTTAGCAAATTCCAAACCACTGCCAAGATAGGAAACCTGGAATAATGGCTTGTCTTTGAAATATTTGTAAACAAGTTTGTTCAGTACGGCGGTAACTTAAAACGGGGTTAAGAGTCAAAAAGGATTGTTAACCCGTGTGGCTGAGGGAGAAACCAGAATAGACACCGTATTACTATATTGTGACTACATCCACCAGGAAAATATGTTTTAATGTAAAAACAACTTTCAGTATCTTCAGATCATTTTAATCAACTTTAGTGTAGACTCCGCCTGCCGCTCGACAAACGTCAAAGCTATATTCAGTTTCTATTTATATTCGGTTGAGTACGTTTGAACTGGTTACAGTGCTTCTTTCCTGTAAGTAATCTTACGCCAGTTATTTTCATGGAGTACAACTTCTTCTTGCTGTATTTTCACCTCCATAACAGGAAGTGTAATGAAACTACATTATAGTTACTGGGAAGACACAACATTTAATCATCTCTTCCAATCCAGTGACCTAAAAATGTGGCATATATGACGTCTTTAATTTTACTCCGAAATATGGAGAATCGCCATCTGCTTTAAAACTAAATTGTTTCCCGTTTTCAGTTTCAATTTATATAGACGAAATTCTGCCACATCCTGATAAATTTTAGCGTTGTCTGTTCTTTAAAATGAAAAAGGTTTAATAACACATTAAGCCTGTCCAAACATTTAATTTTGGAGTAGTCCAGTTGCCCACAGACTCCGCTGTAATATTGACAGCCCTAGATTATTCCTTCATCTTACCAGAAGGCTGAATTACTAGGCCTCTGTTCATACCTCGCTTGCATTATAAAGTGTGACATTAAAGCAGCAGCTGTGAGCCAAGGTTCTTCAGTGGCGTTCTCTGCCAGTGGTGAATTGTGCAGTCAGGCAGAAAACGTCCGTCCGCCGTTACATAAGAATCGTCTTCGTGTTCGTGAGGCGAGGCCTCGTTTCAAGCTCCAATGGTTGATTAACCCTTAAACTGCTGACAGTGGCGAGGCGTCACAGCCAAAGCAATATTTTGCGTTATTACGCAGAATTCATATTTGCATTTTTCTTTATATTTCAAAATATCCAAAAACGTGATTTTACGTGAGCAGTGTTCAATTGCCTCAATTTTCCTGACCTGTCTTAATACACTTCCTGAATCTTGCAGTGAAGCGACTAGTTCTCCATATGTGGGATGTCCTCGGTTCGAATTTGTCATCCTGACTCAAGTTATCGTGGTTTTAATCAGTCCCTAAAGGCATTATTACTGTGAAACTGTATAAGCGTGTGGACGAACTTTCACATTCGTCTCTCATCTCAACGTTTATATTCATCCTGAAAGCTAACAATTTCCATATAACCTATGTAGCTGATAACTAGTTGTCAAATACACCAAGAATCAAACAAACATTAGCGACATTCCTCTATTCTGCAAGGGAAGCAATACTTCTGCTGTTATCAAATCCACGAATGTACAGTATTTTTAATGTCGATGCTGAGGTGGATACAGATGTGTGAAGACATTTTATTTCCTGACGATTTTGTGTAAAAACTATACTTGAAGGTGGAAATGTGTCCAACGATCCGCTCGTAATCAAGTGCTTCCTTTGCTGTTATATCTTGTCTTCTGTCATCATTGCTACGCCCTTTGTAGTACAAAGATGTGCCTACAGTAGATGGCTGAGAAGCGCCGAGTTTTGGAATATCACGTAATTTAAATTTATTAATAGTTCCAAACTAGCAAACCGATAACAAGTTAAGTAAGGACGAAAGGAGTCACCAGGCCAACACGAGAAACGAGCAGCAGAGCAAGAATTGAGGGCCCTTGGCCCTTGCCAGTGGGTTTACTGTCGTTAAGTAGATTTATTTACAGTGGCAGAGAACATCCGTTAGAAATTTCAGATCTACTGCCGGCAGCCCGAATGCATTTACATTACTTAAGCAACTCCGTGGCCCACGTTCTTCCTAGAGTAGCAGACAACTTTTCAGAATTATCTTGCTGTCATGGACTCCGAACTTTATCATGATGCACCATCGAAAAAAACAAACAAAGGGACAGAAAAAGAGAGAGAAATTAAGAAAAGGAAAACTAATAGAGGATATAAAATAAAGGAAATGGTATATTGAAAGAGAAATTAGCGATAGAACAAGTTTGTTATTGTGGCATCTTGGAAATCATCGTAGTTGGCTGGTTAGTAAGTTGATTCGTTAATAAGAATTGGGTGTTTTATTGTGTGGTACTATCAATTGGTCTGTAACGTCGTGTGATACAATCAGTTTTTATCGATTTTAAGGGTAGCGCCACCTGTTGCAGACAACCTACCGCCTACTGGCTTTGTAACTGACGCTGGACGCAATGCTGGTTCTGGTTCTGTCTCTCGTCATATCTTGTTTCATGTCTTGCACTACTGTACATACATGTACAAGTCTTTATATAACGATGCTGCTGCTAGCAGATGAAGGGATAAATGGTAACTCGGACCTGGTGGGCTACCACAACTGTAAAAACTCTCACCATTGGGAGATATCCGATTCGAATTCTGGTCAAATATATGCTGTACTGATTGTAAGCCATTTTCAGCCATAAAAAGCTAATAATTTAACAGGTCTGCAATTCAGTGAACTTGGAGTCAGTAAGCTGGCTTTTATTGGTTTACATACAGTGTAAAATAGTTTAGCTTCATAATAATAATATTAATAATAATTTATTTATATTCCATGGATCCATAAGACAGTCAGATGACGATAGGATGTGGAAAAAGTCATGTGATGAACATGTTTTCTGGAATACCCACATCTGTCTTTGAGGCTGCGGAGTGTCATTAATTAATCTTTGTTTTGAAGTCGCTTGGTTGAGCGGTTGGAGAATATGAAGAGAGCTGCAATGGGGAACGGAACAAACCAGTGCATCCTCTGCGGAGACAGTTTCGGTGTTTTAGGATCAGCCAGCCTCATTTGCCATGATTGCAAGAAGGTACATGAATCTGCTGCTTAACTACACGGTGCTGGTTTTAAATTCTAACATTTCCATGATGTTTAACACTTAGAGAATCTCAACTTTCTGGAGGTTTCCATATGCATTACCTTAGTTGTGTTACAAATAATAACTGAGTGCAACATTTTTTATGAAATCTGACTGTATACAATACTGCAATAAATCCTGCCATCACACTGATTAAGCTACTAAAGCTGAGCCAAAATGTGTCTATTCAATTTGATGATGGAACTTATTACAATATGATGTATATGATGTTGGGGCCTTTCTTGGAAAGCTGATAGTTATTCAGCTGGTCATGGCATTTCCTGCATGCATTGAATCTGAAATTTCATTACTGATTGATTTCATTAAGAAACAAAATTATTGCTAAGTAATATATTTATTTATTTCCGTCAGTACACAAACTTAGTTGTTAAAATTGGTGTTATTAAAGCTAAAACTTTAAAATTTGGCGCTTATCATCGCTATTACGATGTTACAATTTTAGCGCTCATTATTTTATTTCACAACATGTTTCAATGCAACTGCATCATCTTCAGGCTATTTTCGTCTTTAAAACTAATGTATATTTATTAATGCAACTATCATTGATTTGTTTGTTTTGTAGTTTTCATTTTTGTAGGTTGTTTCTTTTTGTTGTTCGTCTTGTTTTGTATTATTTAGATTTAATAACACCAATTTTAACAACTAAGTTTGTGTACTGACGGAAATAAATAGATATATTACTGAATTAAGCACAAACATGACGCATTTAAACTACAAAATTATTGCTATTACTGAAAAAATAGAAAAGATCAAATTCATTGGATATGAAGGCATATTTGATCTTATATTCTGTTGAATTTTGTCTCACTTCCAATTTGAAATTTTCTGATAGTGTGCACACAGCACAAAGTGACTGCATACCATTTGATGAATTTAAGTTTGCTTCATATTAGTCCAACATAAATCTGACTGTATATAAAAGTGTTTTCAAACTCGACTGACTATCTCCAAAATTTCTAATCATATTGAGCATTTGGTACATAATGAAAAATATAGATCCAATTAAAATCTATAAATGATCTTTGAGGCATTTTACAGTATGGCAGATATTTAAACTCTGTGTAGCTTACTTTATTATGATTAACGTTATAGGATCAGATTTATATTTGCATCAAATGAACAAAATTTGTAATGAGATGTGTAAAATAACAATGGATGTTTAAAAAATATGTATGCTCTATTGTTGTACACCTTTCTACCATTTACTTCTTTCCAAATGTTGCATGGAAAGATATAATATGCCTTTAAACAAAATACAATTTGACTCCTGTATAATAATTTCAGAACTGAATTGTAGTAGTGCAATCTTTGCTGCAGGCCGTGTGTCAGAAGTGTGGGATTGAAACAATGTCAGCCCAGAAAGAGCCCATCTCCCTTTGTAAGATATGCTCTGAGACCCGTGAGATGTGGAAGAAGTCTGGGGCCTGGTTTTTTAAGGTAATGCTGTGTTGTAACTAATTGGTTGCTGCTATTTCTCTCATTTTTCTTTTCTTCTTTTACTCTGGATTGTCATGTGGTACTCTGAAGTAAAGGGTTTGTCTGTCATCTTTATGTACTGCCTTGTGTCTACATAAAGGAACTACGCTACAAAGTTCTGTAAGTATAACCATTATACTTGTAGTGCAAGAAATACCACTATATTTAGATAAGATAGATAAGTTCAGTTTAAGTAACGATTTGAATTCTTTGGCACATTAATATGTAGTGTATATAAACCCAGAAATCAGTCATTTTACCTACATTGTGTAGAGTTGTAATAGCACACTCTCCTGCTTTATGCTGTGTACAGGGTTTGCCAAAGTATGTCCTACCTGAGAAAAAGAGCAACCCTGATTCTGGAAGGTATGGTGGTCGGAAAATTCAACGTCCAGGTCTTGAGAAAAACAGCTGGTCACGGGGCAGTGGTGGGCATGAGTACCTCCAGTCGGCCAACATCACTTCATCATCTACCAACAGTACAACACCTACACTTAAAAGCACACCTGCTGGATCAAAATGTAAAATATTCTGTCCTTACATTTATTTTATTTGGTTTAATTATGATTTGTTTTAAAATGAAGAAGGGCTGTAATAAAAATTACTGACATATTTTATTCATGTATGATCTGTAGCTTTCATGGTGACTAAATATAATAAATTCTTGGGCTACCAACCATGTAAGGTGGCTTAATGAAAAAGACACCAGTACACAGTACCCTGAGGACAAGGAAGAAGATGGTTCTCGAAACGTTGGTATTTTCTTCATTAAGCCACCTTACATGGCTGGTAGCCTGAGTAGAATTTGTTATATTTTATTCATATTGTGTAAATACACACAATCCACTATGAGTGGCGCTCCTCAATTATTTTGTTAAAAACTAGGACATGATCTCAAAATATGACACTTCTTACCCACTAATCACCAACTTGTAATCATCTTCACATCCTTCAGCACCTCTGCCAGCCTTGTAATGAAAATGTGGGTATGAAACAGTTAAGTCCATTAGCCATAACGAGGACAGATCGAAGTTTAAATTATTTGGCTGAAATCATAATCTTTCATTGCTTAAAGTACTTCCTTTAAAATCTTCAGACATCAGAGTTTCCTATGTAAATTAACATCTTAATTTTTCATCCAACATTTTGATTTATTTTAATGGAATTACCTTTCATCCAATCCAGTCTATAAGATTGTGTTTTTTTTTCCTCCAGATTTACCGTATTTATTATTTGAACTGTATATATTATTTTATTGTGATCTGCCATAAAACATTTATAATTCTCTAATCAAAAAACAACTTGTACTTAATTTAATAAAGCTGAAATGATGCAATAATCCATTTTAATGGGAGTAAATATACTGATGTAGGTCTTGCTTTTGGGTGATGATACCACATAAATGTAAGCTGTATTGCCAGTGTTTCAGGGTTCAGTACAGAGCCATCACCCAGACACAATATCCACATT